TGTCAACTCGAGAAGAGGCTGTCTAGATAGGTCGACACGTCGATGGGAAGTAGCAAAAGTGCAAAATGCCCCCCCCCTCTCCCGTCGTAAAACTGCGCTATTAACACGTTCCGAACCGCAGGGTAGGGGGTGGGGGAGGAATTGGTTGAGGGCAGCACTTGAAGGCCTCCCTGTGTACTCCCGGCTGAGATTATCGTAACCTAAGACGCCTTTAGCACAGTGGTTGTGACTACCGAAGCTCCTTACGTCCTAGACTTATGGTTAAGTAGAACTCATCATTACGGCAACCTCAGCGCTGCAGGAGAAATCCTTCGGGTGATCCTCTCACTTTGCCGAAGTGGATAGGAGCGCGTTTATACTTCGCGGTTCACGCTCAGATCACGCAACTGGATCGCATGAGCGACTGAATACCGCGATCCGATCGCGAAGTATGAACGCGCTCTGAGACTTCTAATGAACTATAAAGTAATCGTCTACAGTAATCTAATTCCAGTTCAACAGACTATTTGGTGGAGGATATGAAGCGAAAACAGTGACTGCACTGTTGAAGTGTAATGCGAAACAGAACTGGATCTACACAAAAGATAAAGTGGCAAAGTAAGTGTGGATTAAAGTCAATTTGGCTACTGAAAGATGTCGTGCTAACTTCTACTGGCTGCATCACCATTCCTGAGCGTTCCCATCTTCAAATTCGCCCCTTGTTCGGATTTTCGTGCTGGATACATTGCAAGAACCTTCGCCTAGATGGAGATCTCTGTCTATTCAAAAGTGGGACCCCTTTCTTTCCAAAAGTCCTTATATGGCGCATCCCGAAACGGGTTCATCAGCGCCAAGCGCCATAACCTTTACTCCTACTGGCCGCTAATCGTTGTCGAAGACTTCTGTTTCCCTTATAATAAACCGTTGCTTTCAGAGCAATAACTTCTGTTGGATGCATGTATGTCTAGAACGATGGTCGTCAAAAGACTCTTCTTCAGCAACTTCTCTACAATCTAAAACATTTCGAATCATAGTTCA